TTGTAGCAGCTTTATTCGTAATAGCCAGAACCTGGAAAGAACCTAGATGTCCCTCAGTTGAGGAATGGATACAGAAATTGTGGTACATTTACACACTGGAATACTACTCAGCAATTAAAAACTAGGCACTCTTGAGATTCTTATACCTCACTTTTATTTAATTCTACTCCCTTTAAAAATCACATTTTGTGGAAAATTTTAAGACCTTCCTAGTTAGGTAATGTTTTACATGTAGAACGAAAGTAGTTGCCACAAAATGTTTCTCTAAACCATAGTAGGATATTTCTATGCTTTTGAGTATTTGACTTATATAATATTTAGTAATATGTAATGTGAAGGTAGATGAGACAATACTTATTACCTTACAATATTTAATACTCAATTATAATGCTTAATACTTTTCTTTGAAGTCATGTGTTTAATCCTGTTGAGTAGGTAATTGGATTCTTTTAAAAAATTGTTTTACATCAATGATCTTTGGTTGGAGTATTAGTCTCAGAAAACACTTGTGCCCAGATTTTTTGGTTTTGTTGCTCTCCTTGTGGAGCTCCTGTCCTCTCCAGGTCTTACTATTTCCCACTTCTTTCATAAGATTCCCTGCACTCTGCCCAAAGGTTGGCCATAAGTCTCAGCATCTGTTTTGATACCCTGCAGGGTAGAGCCTTTCAGAGGCCCTCTGTGGCAGGCTCTTGTCCTATTCCCTGTTTTCTCCTTCTGATATCCATCCTCTTTGCCTTTCTGAATGGGGATTGAACATTTTAGCCAGAGTCCTCTGTCTTCATTAGTTTCTTTAGGTGTACAGATTTTAGTAGGTTTATCCTACATTATATGTCTAATACCCACTTATGGGTGAGCATATACCCTATGTGTCTTTCTCCTTCTAGGACACCTCACTCAGGATGATATTTTCCAGTTCCCACTATTTGCCCACAAATTTCATGATTTCCTTGCACCCCTGCATAGACGTAGCCCATGACAGCTCAGTGTCCAAGTGGGTTCCCTAGTAATGGGAACAGGGACTCTCTCTGACACGAACTGATTGGCCTGCTCTTTGATCACCTTCCCCTGAGAGGGGAACAGCCTTACCAGGCCACAGAGCAAGACAATGCAGCCAGTCCTGATGAGACCTGATAGACTAGGATCAGAAGGAAGGAGAGAAAGACCTCCCCTATCAGTGGGCTTGGGGAGGAGCCTGGGTGGAGAAGGGGGAGGGAGAGTGGTACTAGGAGGGGAGGGAGGGGTTTATGGGGGATACAAATTAAATAAAGTGTAATTAATAAAAATTAAAATTATAAGAAAAGAAACTAATAAAAAATTGTTTTACAGCCTGGTGTAGTGGCACATGCCTTTGATCCCAGCACTCAGGAGGCAGATGCAGACAGATCTCGGAGTTACAGGCCAACGTGGTCTATACAGTGGGTTCCAGGACAGCCAGTACTACACAGAGAAACCCTGTCTTAGGAAAAAAAGCAAAAAAAAATTGTTTTGTATTATTTTTGTATGTGTGTGCACACACAATTATGTGTGTAGGGGTCAGAGGACAACTTGAAGGACTTGGTTCTCTCCACCATGTGGGTCCTAGGTAAATTAAACTCAGGTTGTCACTCTTTGTACAAGACCTTCTCTCTGCTGAGCTGCCTCACCTGCTCTGGTAATTGCATTCTAGACATGGATTTTGTTTTACTTTCTTAGAGTTATAGAAAAAAAGATGCCTGGGGAGATAGGTCAGCTGATAAAGTATTGGCCTTGAGAACTTGAATCCAAGACCCAGAACTCATATAAAAATATCAGGTGTGGTGGTTGGGTGCACACTTCTAATCCAAGTACTAGCTAGGTTATACAGGTAGAACTTTGAGCTTGCTAGCCTGTTAGCTTAGCCTAGCCCACCAAAACCCTACCAACCAACCACCCAAACAACAAACAAAAATATGAACAAACAAAAACAAAAAAGAAAAAGAAAGGTTCATGGCAGCTGAGGAATAACTCTCAAGGCTGTCCTCTGGCCTCCACACGAACATTAATACAAGCACACAGTTACTGCTTTGAGTCCCGAGTAGGGGCAGATGAAATTTGGAAAAGTCAAGATACAGGAAGGAATTTCCAAGGTCATGAATGTGCATGGTGGATGCTGACTTGGAGCTTACTATATAGACCTGGCTAGCCTTGAACATACAGGTCTGCCTCCCAAATGCTGGGATTAAAGACATGCACTTGGTGTATTTGTTGGTTTCCTGACAACAGTTCAGACCATAAACTGCATGGCGCCAGCCACGGTTTAAATAATGAGTGTGTCCCCTCAGGCATGGTTTCAGAAGGTCAGATACCCCTGGAAAGGAATGACTCAGTGGCTTTCCAAGAAACCCTTAAATTCCAGAACTTACTAGAACTGCTTATCCCAATGAAGTGAGATTGGAGCCAATATAAACCTCAGACTTTGACTGAAACCCTGTTGTTTCACTTGGCTCTTGTCCCAGTTTGCATTAACCGACAACTTGACATGGCCTAGAATTACCTGAAAAATGAGTCTCAATTGAGGGATTCTCCAGATCAGGTTAGCTAGTAGGCTTGTCTGTGGGGATAGGGGTCTCTTAATTGTTAATTGGTAAAGAAGGGCTTCCAGCATCTGTGGGCGGGTGGTCCTTGGCTATACAAGGGAGAGGGCGAAGCATGAGAAAGATCACCCCAGCCAGCAAGCAGTGTTCCTCCATGACTCCTGCTTAAACTCCTTTAGTTCCTGCCTTGACTTCCCTCAATGATAGACTCTGACCTGGAAGTATAAGCCAAATAAACCTTTTCCTTCCCTAAGTTGCTTTTTCTCAGTGTTTTATCATAGTAACAGATTGTTTCTACGAGAGGTTTTTAATTACGTGGCTCAGTGGGGAAAATCTATACTGTTTACTCATTGGAGAAGGAGTTATTGAAGACAACATTCTGGGATGCATTTCAGCACCTTAAATGTAAGTTTGCAATGAACTAGAACAGTTGGGGCTGGGTATGGTGGCACATGTCTTCAATTCTAGCACTCAGAGGCAAAAGCAGGTGGATCTATATGAGTTCCAGGGCAGTTAGGTCTACAGTGTAAGACCTGTCTCAACAACAAACCAAAACAAAGCAAATAACTGGAAGTAAGTTCTTTTTTCCCCCAACAGCTGATATTTTAGATGGGGTTCTGCACAAAAGCACACCCACTGCATTCGTACTTCTTCAGCCACTAGGAACAAAGAGAATAAGAAAGGACTGTGTACATTCCAATGAGCCTAGGGTTCAGGGATCCAGTAAGTCTAGACTGACTTCTTGACCTCAGCTCATTATACATACCACTGGGCTATGATAATCCATTTTCACTGAACGTCTTTCTCTAAGACTTCATAACAACAATGCAGAACAAATGTGATATAGGAGATGATGAGATGGCTCAGTTGGGAAAGCTCTTGCCCTAAAAGCTGGGTGACCCGGGTTCCATTCTCAGAACATACATACACACATAAAGATGGAAGAAGTGTATGTTTGGATGCCAAACAAAGTCATTCTCTTGAGTCCTCTGATCTCTACACGAGAGAGAGAGAGAGAAAGAGAGAGAGAGAGAGAGCTTATGCGTGTGTGGATATGCACACGTGTGCATATACACACTCAAATACACGAGTGAATAAAATATTTCAGCACGATGTAGAACTGAGTACAGTAATAACGCAGAGCTAACACCTGTGGAACCTGTGGTGTGGAACCAGACATTGTTTTCTGTGGTAGAAAGCACATGCTGTGGTCATTAGGTCCTGAGTCTGTATGGAACCAGACGGGTCTACTTGACCAATCATTAGAGGACTTTCACCACTCTACGTGGGGGCCCCGAGTAGTTGAAATTTAATCCATCTCAATGGTTGCATCTGCTGTCTACATTGTAATCATCTGGGGACTTTTGAGCACTTCAGCGCCGAGTCTCTGTCAGGCAGGGGTCATATTCACAGGTGCAGGCTTTTGCTAATCGACATGTGAACTGTGAGTCAGCACCATCAGCACCACCTGGGCTGACCAGCTAAGGAAAACCTAGTGGCCCAGAATGAAAATCTGCCTCAAACCGGATTGTCAGGTAATTGATACATTATCAAATTTAAAAAAGCTACCTCCTGGGCTAGTGTTTTCAAAATAAATTCAGTGTGGACACATGTTTTAGATTTTCTCATAAGTACATCAAAAGAAATGTGAGGGCTGGCAACATGGCTTAGCGAGTAAAAGCTTGCTCTGCCGGCTCAGGATCTGAGTGCGAGCCTAAGGCCCTCATGGTGGAGGGAGAGAACTGACTCTTCAAGTCGTCCTCTCACCTCCAAAGCACACGCTACAGCGTGTGTGCACCCCCACACAAAATAAATGCAACTAAGAGAATCAACAAGCAGTGCGAACAATTAGTCCTGTGACAGTATATTTTCTTATGATTATGCACATTATTATTATCATACAGGCTACAGTTTAACTGTTCAATAGCTGCCAGCAGCCTCCATGCTGGACAGTGAAGTACTAGGGCATGACCTAAACATTGTCTGTCCTTAAACGTTTTCAGGAGGAGGGCTGGAGAGATGGCTCAGTGGTAATGAGCACTTGCTGCTCTTACAGAGGACTCATTTAGTTTTGAGCACTCACATGGCAGGTCACGACCACCTGTAACTCCAGCTTCAGAGGATCCAATCCCCTCTTCTGGCCCCCATGCACATCCGGGTATGCATGCAGGCAAGCACTTACACACATAGAACAAACCTAAGAAAATCTCTAGAAGGGTGGTGTATGATGGAGCCTGATATTTAGTCTCAGCACTTGGGAGGCAGAGGCAGACCATTTTTCCAGATAGTCCTAATTTATACTCAGAGAAAAGAGAGCTCATGTGTTTCAGAAAGAAAGAAATTTTAGGTTCTTGACTTTAGCTAATGTTCAAATTTTAACGGAGAGACCCTGAAAAGTGATTTCTCTAGGGCACCTTATGGGTTTAGAGATGTTTGTAGACTCCTTACCTTGAAATAGCTTCATCCTTGGGTTCATTTTTAGAATCTGATTCATCACCGGCTCTAATGTTTTGATCTTGGTAACCATGGACTCTAACAGTTCACAAGGCACGATGTCTTCCTTCAGAGTGACAACATCACAGTTGGGGCACAGTATTCCATCCCCCTCAGGACTTTTCTCTAGTGAGGCAGTGCATCGGAGGCAGCAGATGTATCCACAGTTCAAGTACACAGGGCTTTCCAGATAACGGTAGCAGGAATCACAGGTACTGTTTTCTTTAAAGAAATGAGCCATCGCCAATGGTCAGCACCTTAGGGGAAAAACATACACGATTCTGAGATTTTCCTGAGTGGAACGACTGTTAGATCCTGGGAGATTGTCATCTTTGCATGCACAGGGATGCATCATAGTCATTAGTAAGAGGTTATAAAAACAAACACAAAAGCAGACTTAACTGACTTATAACCTTGAACTTTGATAATTAAAATGCTAGCTGGACAAGGACCACGCATGGAGATAACCTAAGACCCCTGCACAGATGTAGCCCATGGCAGTTCAGTATCCAAGTGGGTTCCATTGTAATAGGAACAGGGACTGTCTCTGACATGAACTGATTGGGTGATCTTTAATTACCTCCCCTTGAGGGGGAAGCAGCCTTACCAGGCCACAGAAGAAGACAATGCAGCCACTCCTGATGAGACCTAATAGACTAGGATCAGAAGGAAGGAAAAGAAGACCTCCCCCATCAGTGGACTTGGGGAGGGGCATGCATGCAGAGGATGGAGGAAGGAAGGGGTTGGAATGGGAGGAGGAAGAAAATCACAGAGGGACACAAAGTGAATAAAATGTAATTAATAAAGAATTAAACAAATTGCTAGCTGGAAAGAGACTAGATTCCTCACTAAGCTTTCAGTCCAGGGTGTGAAAGGGTCTTTATCTGGATTGTCCAGTGTGGGAGTCACCAGCCTACACATAGCCGTGGAGTACCTGAAAAGGGGTGTATCGTCCTTATTTTATAATTTAATATTTGTGTGTATATGAGTGGGGAGGTATTAGCAGTGCCATGGTGCATGTGTGAAGGTCAAATGACAACTTGTAGAGTCAGCTTTCTCCCTTTGCAATGTCGGGCCTGGGGAATGAACTCAGGTCGTGAGGCTTGGTGGTAAGCTCCTGAACCCACTGAACCATCTCCCGGGCCCAGCGGGGCTTCTCTGAATGGCAACGTGCTCTGAGTATAAAATACACATACAATTTGAAAAAGATGAGAAAAAGAACACAAACTACTTCATTAACATTGTTTAACTAATTGCATGTTGTATTATACATATTTAGATTTTTAAAATTATTTTTAGTTTTGTATAGTTATATTTGTCTAAATGTGGGTCTGTGCATATGAGTGTTGGTGCCCAGGGAGGCCAGAAGAGTCAGATCCCCTGAGGCTGGAGTGGGTGCTGGGAATGAAATATGGTTTCTCTGTACAAGCAGCCATCCTTCCAGCTCCTGAATTTTTGATATTGAAATAAATCGATAAATTATTTCATTTTACTTTCCCAAATTTTGTCATTACATATGTGGGTCATGTTCTATTTCTATTGCTGACCTTGACCCAGGAACTTTCTAACTCCCTTGTCCCACTTAAATATTGAATGAGCCAATAGGAATGATAGATCTCCCACCTCATATAGGTCAGTCGAGTATGGGTTGGACTCAAGAGAATGAAGACCATCACTTCGTTAGGTTGGGTGTTGATAATCTCTGTTCCACTGTGTGCTGCTTGAGTAGGGGCCCTTTTGTCCCTATGTGCACACACTACCTGGTATGAGCTAGCCTCAGACAACACTTGCAGGGTAAAAAGTCTTTCTCTGCCCCTGACTGAGAGCTGATAAGTGAGGAAGAAATTGCCTAATTGTCCTCACCTCTCCTCGGCTCGTCTTTCTTCTAGCCCACAGCTGAATTCTAGAATGGCTCCCACCTCCACAGGCTATTTGTTGGTGATGCCACTTCCTGTCTCACTCTCCACGTGTCTCTTCTTAATCCAATCAGATTTAGGTTTAAAACTTGGCTTAAGTGACATTTTTTTATGTAATTAAATAAATTTTTTTTCCTTAAAAATGTTCTCTCAGTTTTAGATGACTGTCAGGTAATTGGAATTTGAGGATGAGAATAAATGCCTGCTGTATGAAGGGAACTAGAAAGAGAGGCAGAAGAGGCTTAGATTACATTCAGTTGTTTATTTAATCATCTCCACAACAATCGCTTGCTGGTGTGTGCTGAGCACCTAAATACAATCACAGCTAATTTAAATGATTTTACTTTCTTTTCATTTACTTATTTAATGTGAGTGCATGTGTGCCACTGTATGGATATGAAGGTTGGAGGACAACTTTTGGTACGTGGTCCTCTCTTTCTGCCACGTAAGTCCTGAGATGAAACTCAGGTTGTCATGTTTGATGGCAGTCTTGGCTGTACAGCCCAGGCTGGCTCCCAACTCAACATCTTTCTGCATCAGCCTCCACAGTATTGGGATTTCAGGTATTTGCCACCAATGCCTGCCTGAAGCACAGTTTGTAAAAATCTTGTTCATGAGAGAAAGCAACAAGGATTAGTGGATTGGGACTTTTTTAAGCCCCAGGATTCAATCTCTAGGTGAGGCAAAGCTGATCTCAAATGTGTATTTTACTCCATAATTCCTGTGTTGTTAAACCACAGTCAAAGCCAAAAGAAAGGGTTCTACCAGGAACAGGTGTGGTGGTGTATGTCCAAAATCCCAGCACTTGGGAGGTGAAGGCTAGAGGATCAGGAGTTCAAGGTTATCCTTGGCTTTGCAAGGAGTTTGAGGTCATTCTGGGCTACATGAGACCCTCCTTCAGAAAACAAAACCAACAACTTAGCAACCAGTCAGCTAGCCAAATAAACCAACAAACTAACAAACCAACAAACCAACAAACCAAAATGACAAAGGTTAGTGAGTTTTTTGATAGCTAGATATGGAGGCATAGATAGGACAGAGTAAGGTGTCTGAAGAGAGCATGAGCGCCCTTCTAAAGCTTGTTCTATACATCTGTTATCTAAATCCCCTTTTGCATCATTTATAATAACCAAAAGACGTGATCATCTCCCAAAGTTTTATGAGTCATAAAGTTTTTTTTTTTCATCCTTATGAGGAGATTTTGGGATCTTTGAATTTTAGCATAGCCGAGCTCAACTCCAGGTGTGGATGGGCATCTGCAGTGGGGGCAGGAGAGCGTGTTCAAGGTCATTTCGAGTCTTGGAGGCTGACTCCTTAACCCAAGGCAGCTGTGTCCCATAGTAAATGGGAACAAAATCGTTTTTGTCCAGGTGATTTCTTTCCCCTCAACTCTTAGTGTGGAGGGGTAAGGCTGTGTTGATCCCGCCTCTGCACACTGTTACAGGTGTAGCCTGGAGCTACTGAGCTGAACCTTGTTTTTGGGAACTCCAAGCATAGCTGGCAAATGGGCCTGATGTGTGAGTGGGAAGACCCAGAGATCAGGGAGAAGGCACAGACAACCCTTCTCATGGGGCTCCCCTTCTGCAGAGGTTTCTTGGAGTTAAAGACAGAACAATTTATACCCCTTTCAGATACATGGGTTTCTTAAGATAGGCTGAGCAGATGGACAGCTGGGATGAGCCCATTCAATGTCAGGCTGACTTATTTGCACAAGATAAATGAAGTCCTAAGAGTTGAATGAAAGCTGACAGCTTCAACCTACACAGAGTAATTGCATCCTAGCTGTCCCCAGAACTAGGTAATAAGAACAAAACACGTACGTGGGTGGGACCACCATTCACTATTGCACCCTGCTTGCTATTAGGCTTTGATGGGAGGAAGGTACAGGGGCCGCCCATGGAGATTTTTCATCTCTGGGAGCAGACTCAGCCTGGGCCTGGGATGTGATTCCTAATACAAGATCATCTCTGGAGGTTTGAAATCAGCAAAAGGTGCAACTTGTTGGACCTCCTAGATACTCTTTTTTTTTTTTTTTTTTTGAGAAAGGGGGCTTCCATATGTTGTTTGGGCTGATCTTGAATTTCTGAGCTCAGGTTGTCCTTTGCCTCAGCTTGCTGAGGGAGCCAACCATGCACTATTGTAGGGTACAGTATAGGCTGCTTAGTATTCGTATTAGCTTTGATGGCAGGAAATTGCAGAGGAGATATTTCTGCCCATGGAGATATTTCTTCCGTGGTAGCAGACTTGCCTGGGTCTAGTTTAGGATTTCTTAAATTGCTGAGCTCTGCTGTGGGCTAGTGTTTTCCTCAGGGTCAATATGAAGGAGAGTGGAGGTCCTGATGAATCTGAACCCTTTGTCCACTTTAGCTAGAACCTCTGAGTTGCTTCTCCTCCCTCCCATTACTTTGAGACAGGGTCTCATATATTTAGACTTGACTCAAACTGATACACAGCTGAGATTGACTTTGAATCTCTCTCCTGCCTGTACCTTCAGAGTGCTGGAATTACTGGTATGAAGTTAGAAAAAGTTATCTTGAGATTATTTTTGTTTTTAGTTTGTGTGTATGGGTGTTTTGCCTGCATGAATGTCTATGCACCATGTGAACACAGTGCCTGAGGAAGCCCGAGAGGGCTTCAGATCTCCTGGGAATGGAGTTAGAGACTGTGTGAACTTCCCTGTGGGTGCTGGGAATGGAAAGTAGGTCTGAAAATTCAGTCAGTGCTCTTTTTTTTTTTTCCCAAGACAGCTTTGGCTGCTCAGGAGCTCACTCTGTAGACCAGGCTGGCGTCAGATATCTGCCTCTCTGCCTCTTGAGTGCTGGGATCAGAGGTACATGCCACCGTCACTCAGTGCTCTTAACTGATGAGCATTTCTCCAGTCTCCACATGGAGGGTTTTTTGTTTGTTTGTTTGATATAAAGTCTCTCTGTTTTGTCTTGGCTGTCCTGGAACTTGACTTGTAGTCCAAGCTGGCCTCAAACTCATAGAGATCTGTCTAGCTCTGCATCTCCAGTGCTGGGATTAAAGGCTTGTGTCACCAGCCCCTGGCTCCCACATGTAGCTTTATGTGGTGTTGGGGCTAGAACTGGGGGATTATACTAGGAAAGCACTCTATCAACCGGGCTACATCCTCAGCCTGTGGACATGAATCTTTCTTCACTTAATTTATCAAACATGTTCCTTTTACATTTTTTGTGTCCTTTGCCTTGCAGTAGGAATGGTCTGTAACCAGAGCTACAGGCTCATTGCATGTTAAAGCTGAAAGGCTCTCAGTAAAACACAGGTAAAAATCATAGGACTCCTCCCCCTAAACCTATCACTCGCC